AAATAAACTGACTTTCTGCTTCACAACCACTATTGTACGTTCAAAGAGTTAAATCCATTTACACGCCGGCTGGCGGTAATATTTTTTGGGTGATTAGTGCATTCCAGTGACAGAAACGTACAGTTTCCAGCCAACGGCAAGCTGCAATTGACCGATTGTGTACAATAAACTGACTTTCTGCTTCACAACCACTATTGTACGTTCAAAGAGTTAAATCCATATACACGCCAGGTGGCGGTAATATATTTTTTGGGTGATTAGTGCATTCCAGTGACATAAACGTACAGTTTCCAGCCAACGGCAAGCTGCAATTGACCGATTGTGCTAAATAAACTGACTTTCTGCTTCACAACCACTATTGTACGTTCAAAGTGTTAAATCCATTTACACGCCGGCTGGCGATAATATTTTTTGGGTGATTAGTGCATTCCAGTGACATAAACGTACAGTTTCCAGCCAACCGCAAGCCGCAATTAACCGATTGTGCTAAATAAACTGACTTTCTGCTTCACAACCACTATTGTACGTTCAAAGAGTTAAATCCATTTACACGCCGGCTGGCGGTAATATTTTTTTGGGTGATTAGTACATTCCAGTGACCTAAACGTACAGTTTCCAGCCAACGGCAAGCTGCAATTGACCGATTGTGCTAAATAAACTGACTTTCTCTGCTTCACAACCACTATTGTACGTTCAAAGAGTTAAATCCATATACACGCCGGGTGGCGGTAATATTTTTTGGGTGATTAGTGCATTCCAGTGACATAAACGTACAGTTTACAGCCAACGGCAAGCTGCAATTGACCGATTGTGTACAATAAACTGACTTTCTGCTTCACAACCACTATTGTACGTTCAAAGAGTTAGATCCATTTACACGCCAGGTGGCGGTAATATTTTTTGGGTGATTAGTGCATTCCAGTGACCTAAACGTACAGTTTCCAGCCAACGGCAAGCTGCAATTGACCGATTGTGCTAAATAAACTGACTTTCTGCTTCACAACCACTATTGTACGTTCAAAGATTAAATCCATTTACACGCCGGGTGGCGGTAATATTTTTTGGGTGATTAGTGCATTCCAGTGACATAAACGTACAGTTTACAGCCAACGGCAAGCTGCAATTGACCGATTGTGCTAAATAAACTGACTTTCTGCTTCACAACCACTATTGTACGTTCAAAGAGTTAAATCCGTTTTTATTTTTGGGGTGCTTATTGAATTAAAGAGTATGTCAGACAACACGCAGAGGAGTGGCAGAGGAGGCAATGTTTCAGGAGCGAGCAGACGTGGCAGCAGAGGAAGGGGTCGAGGCAGCACTAGTCGCAGCCAGAGGCCAGTGCTCCCGGTGTCATCCAGCGGTCGTGTCTCCACCGACAACCCTGCCGTCAACGATTGTTGACTCGGTCGTCTTCCTCTTCCCAGGTCACCTCTGACACCTACAGCCAACGGTCGGTGGGTACGTCGACACAACCGTTAGTTGGCATGGCCCGGGAGCAAGCCCACTGAAATCACGTGTCCTCGACCTGCCCCTGTCCTTTGGTGTTCCCTCACCAAGCGAAGTATCGCATGCTGTGGGCTCAGCCCCACTGTACAGTGAGGAAGAGCTAACAGAGGGCGGTCAGGAACGGGGGGAGACATCCGCCTCTTCAGCAGCCAGGCGAAGAAGTACTGGCGAGGAGAGTGGCTCGGTAGCCGGTCTAGAGACAGGTCTGTCTCCTGACCCACACGCAGCCGAGGGGGCTAGTAGTGACACGGAGACCCTAATTGATGATGATGAGGCTGATCGCACTTGGCAGCCTCGTCGTCATCAGGCTATTGCTTCCGCATCATCAGGAGAAGAGGGTGCCAGCTTGCCAGCGAGCAAAACAGTCGGTGGGTTGCCCAGGAGGCAGCAGGGTCGCAGCAGTGTCAGTGGAGCCAAACGGCCACGGAGTAGAGCACCAGCTCCACTGCAGCCTACCACCACGGCCAGTAGTGGTGCCGGTGTGCACGGAGGAAGTAGCAGTCAGCCAGTGAGGAGTAGCGGGGGCAAAGTTTCCTACTCGGCGGTGTGGCAATTTTTCGTCAAGCCGCCCGAGGAAGTAAACGTAGCCGTATGTCGACTATGTGGCCAGAAAGTCAAGCGTGGCCAGGGGGGCCAATGTTGGGACTACAGCGTTGCGTCAGCATATGCAGCGTCGCCATTCGGTGGCCTGGGAAAACCGTGATAAAGATACGGCGGTTTGCCTGCCCCAGCCCCCGCTCCATCACACCCGCTCCGTTACTTGCTCCGTCACCCGACGTCAATCGCCCTCTATCAGCCAGTCAAGGCTCCAACACCTCTGCTGAGGGGAGTTGTCGCTCGTTGGCATCTTCCGCTCGTTCAGATGCTCCTTCTCCTGCTACTCCTCTTCACGGATTCCGTCAGCAGTCTTTCTTGAATCCGTTTCCAAGAGACAACAGTTTGGAGCACGCACGCACCCGACGGTGCAGAAGCTGAACGTCCTCCTGTCCAAGTTGCTGGTGCTGCAGTCCCTCCCTTTCCAAGTGGTGGACTCAGCACCTTTCCGAGAAATGATGGCTTGTGCCGAGCCGCGGTGGAGAGTGCCAAGCCGGCATTTCTTCGCCAAAAAGGCAGTGCCAGCCCTGCATTCACATGTAGAAGAGATGGTGGGCCAGTCTTTGAGCATGTCGGTCTCTGCCAAAGTGCACGGCAGCGCCGACGTGTGGAGCTGTAACTACGGTCAGGGACAGTACATGTCATTTACGGCCCACTGGGTGAACGTGGTGCCGGCACAGCCGCACCAGCAACTTGGACAGGTCACGCCGCTTTTGCCTCCACGTTTGCACGTCCTTGGTCCAGCAAAGATGTCCGCCTCTACCACCTCTTCTTCTTCCGCCGTGTCCTCAGCCGCCACCCCCGTGCCAAGTCCCATTTACCCGACCGGCATATCATCACATGTGCAGGGCGCAACGGTGTCACGCTGTGCTGCACCTGGTATGCCTTGGCGAACGTAGTCACACAGGGGAGGAACTTCTGAGTGTAATGAACAGAGAAATCGACAGATGGCTGTCTCCGCGCAAACTGAAAATCGGAACCATGTTGACCGACAACGGAAAGAACATGGTGTCTGCTCTGCGTCAAGGAAGGTTGTGCCATGCGCCATGCATGGCTCACGTGTTCAATCTGGTTGTCAAGCGGTTCCTAAAATCCACCATCCCACTGCAAGACATCCTTAAAATGTCACGTAAACTTTGCATGCATTTCAGCCATTCCTACACACCGCAAAGCACACCCTCCTTGAGCTGCAGCGGCAGAACGGAATTCCACAGCATCGCCTGATCTGCGACGTTGCAACAAGGTGGAATTCAACCCTACATATGTTAGACCGCCTTTACGAACAGCGAAAGGCCATCACCGATTTCCTGATGTTACACGGATAAAGGTACTCCCCTGTGTAACTTAGATGTCAGCCATTGGCAGCTCATGCGTGACACCTGCCGCTTGCTCAGGCCCTTTGAGGAGGCCACGCTATTCGTGAGTCGGCAGGACTATGGGATGAACGACGTCATTCCTCTGTTGCACGTCCTGGAACAAATGCTGTTAACAATGGCTGGTCAGGGTGCGGTAGACGTGGCGCACAGATCTCAACGCCACATGACCCCTGTGGGGGCAGGACAGGAAGAAGAGGAGGAGGTAGAGGAGGACATTGGTGCTCAGAATTATTGAGTGAAATGGGTGGTTTTTCCACTCAGCGGACAGGAGTGGAGGAGCAGGAGCATCTGGTAGAGGAGGAGGAGGAGACAGAGGACCCAGACGCACCGTGGCAGTATGCTGTGGAGATGGAGGCAGGGAGTCCCTCGCATTCCTTGGCACAAATGGCCCATAGCATGCTCGGTTGCTTGCGTAGCGACAGCCGAATAATAACCATCAGACAGAGGGATGACTTTTGGCTGTCCACCTTGTTGGACCCTCGCTACCGTTCAAAAATGGTGGCCTTTTTCACACCTGCTGCTGAGAGGGAGGCCAAAATAAAGTACTAAAAAAACCACCTATGTAGTCAGTTGGTCTCTGCCTTTCTGCGCCAACGTCCATCCTCAGACACTGTGGGCCCTGTGCGCTTCGCGGGAAATTGCTTTGTATATCTGTCGCCTTAGGGGCCTCAGCTGTCTGGCGACATAATTTTTTGTCACTGTGTAGACATCTATTTATAGGCCGATGTTTGGCCACAAAAATATATTTAGTAATAACCTAGCCGTTCAGGCCGCTCCCTGAACACCTCGGGAATTGCTTTGTATATCTGTCGCCTTAGAGGCCGCTGTCTGAACAGCTCATGAATTGCTTTCTATATGTGTCGCCTTTGAGGCCGCTGGCTGGACAGCTGATGAATTGATTTGTATATATGTACTTATTGTCCGCTGTCCGGACAGCTCATGAATTACTTTTTGTATATAGCCTTCCAAACCACTCTCAGAATAAGTCATGATATTCATGCTGTGTATAGCCTTATAGGCCAATGGTCAATCAAGTCATGATTGTTATAGTGTGTATAGCCTTATAGGCCGCCACTGTCTTTACAACTTTATAATTCCATGCAGTATATAGCCCTATCGGCCACTTTCTGGCATCCAGTTGCTGTAGCCCCCATCACCACACTGTGCCACGGGCCCCTGTACCGCCTTCTCATTCTGCTGCCAGATCCATCCTCTGCCATGTGCGTCTTTGTCGTCTGCTCACGCTGCTGGGTTCCAGTTTTAACCTAGGCCTGTGTATGGCTTCCGAATACTGCTGCCTCCACCGCCACCCTGCGCCATGTGCCTCTGTCGTCTGCTCACGCTGCTGACGGCTTCCGCTTTTTAACCTAGGCCTGTGTATGGCTTTCCGAATACTGCCTGCCTCCACCGCCACCCTGCGCCATGTGCCTCTGTCGTCTGCTCACGCTGCTGACGGCTTCCGCTTTTTAAACTAGTCCTGTGTATGTCTTCCGAATACTGCTGCCTCCACCGCCACCCTGCGCCATGTGCCACTTTCGGGTCTCCTCACACTGCTGCCAGGTCCATACTGATTCATGGCCCCCTGTACCGGCTCCTCATGAACGTGGTTCAGCGGGTTTGCATCACTTAACGGCAAATCGTTGACAAATGCTGGGACGTTCAGTGTTGTGCGCATTAAGCCAGACACCAAAGGGCAGCACAGACCTGTTATTACTCGCTCAAGCATGGCTGAACAAAACCAGTCTCTACCAGAAATTGGACCCAGACCTGCCCAGGGTCTCGTAACTAGATGCATGGAGGAGTAGAGTCCGTTATCGGAATTAAATAGACAAAACGCCACACACACCAAAAAAGAGTGGCCATTTCCAACACTTATTCCAGAAAGAGGAACAACCGTTTCATATACGGCCCGTAGAGACGTTTCACGTCTGCCACATTCAGTCGATTTAAGACGCAAGCTCCACTTCCTGTGGTCTCTGACCGTCGATATACCTTTAAGTGTCAGCTTTGAAGCTATATTCCCTCCGGAGCACTGACACTGGTGCCCTTCCGTCAACATGCCTTTAAGTTTCAGTTTTCAACCATATTCCCCACAGAAGCCAAACTCTTGGGTATCCCAGAAGCTGCTCAGCGGGTCAGGGCAATAAAGCTCCCGGTTCGCAGGTTGTTCCGTCTTATGGATGGAAGTACGACGGTATATGATCTTCTTCGCACCCACGGCATTACCTCATAAAATTTCTGCATTGCATCTGCAATCACAACGCTGACTTCCCGGATCGCCACTCAGCCATTGGACTCTTGATGAGTCGTCTCCCACACACTGCTGCTGGGGGACTTTTTAACCTAGGCCTGTGTATGGCCTTCAATTGAAGCTGCTTCCGCTCCGCCACTCTGCCATTGGACTCTTGATAGTCGTCTCCCCACGCTGCTGCTGGGGGGACTTTTTAACATAGGCCTCTGTATGGCCTTTAATTGAAGCTGCTTACGCTCCGCCACTCACCATGGGCCTCCTGGGTATCCCAGAAGCTGCTCAGCGGGTCAGGGCAATAAAGCTCCCGGTTCGCAGGTTGTTCCGTCTTATGGATGGAAGTACGACGGTATATATGATCTTCTTCGCACCCACGGCATCACCTCATAGAATCTCTGCATTGCATCTGCAATCACAACGCTGACTTCCCGGATCGCCACTCAGCCATTGGACTCTTGATAGTCGTCTCGTCCCCACACTGCTGCTGGGGGGACTTTTTAACCTAGGCCTGTGTATGGCCTTCAATTGAAGCTGCTTCCGCTCCGCCACTCTGCCATTGGACTCTTGATAGTCGTCTCCCCACGCTGCTGCTGGGGGGACTTTTTTAACCTAGGCCTGTGTATGGCCTTCAATTGAAGCTGCTTCTGCTCCGCCACTCTGCCATTGGACTCTTGATAGTCGTCTCCCCACACTGCTGCTGGGGGGACTTTTTAACATAGGCCTCTGTATGGCCTTCAATTTAAGCTGCTTACGCTTCGCCACACTGCTGCCATGGGCCCCTGTACTGCCCTCCTCTTGCTGCTGCCAGGTCCAGAGTGTGTCATGGGTCCCTGTACGGCCTCCCATTGCTGCTGCTGACTTCATCGCCAGACTCTGCCATGTGCCACTTTCAGGTCTCCTTACACTGTTGGTGGGTTCCATTTTGTGATAGGGTGCTGTATGGCCTCCCATTGCTGCTGCCTCCACCGCCACCCTGCGCCATGTGCCTCTGTCGTCTGCTCACGCTGCTGACGGCTTCCGCTTTTTAACCGAGGCCTGTGTTTGGCTTCCGAATACTGCTGCATCCACCGCCACCCTGCGCCATGTGTCTCTGTCGTCTGCTCACGCTGCTGACGGCTTCCGCTTTTTAACCTAGGCCTGTGTATGGCTTCAGAATAATGCTGCCTACACCGCCACCCTGCGCCATGTGCCTCTGTCGTCTGCTCACGCTGCTGCCAGGTCCATACTGATTCATGGCCCCCTGTACCGGCTCCTCATGAACGTGGTTCAGCGGGTTTGCATCACTTAACGGCAAATCGTTGACAAACGCTGGGACGTTCAGTGTTGTGCGCATTAAGCCAGACACCAAAGGGCAGCACAGACCTGTTATTACTCGCTCAAGCATGGCTGAACAAAACCAGTCTCTACCACAAATTGGACCCAGACCTGCCCAGGGTCTCGTAAGTAGATTGCACGGAGGAGTAGAGTTCGTTATTGGAATTAACTGTGAGGGACTTTTAAACCTAGGCCTGTGTATGGCCTTCAATTGAAGCTGCTTCTGCTCCGCCACTCTGCCATTGGACTCTTGATAGTCGTCTCCCACCCTGCTGCTGCTGGGGGGACTTTTTAACATAGGCCTCTGTATGGCCTTCAATTTTAGCTGCTTACGCTCCGCCACTCTGCCATGGGCCCCTGTACCGCCTCCTCATGCTGCTGCCAGGCCCGTAATCTGCCATGGGCCCCCGTACCGACTCCTCATGCTGCTGCCAGGCCCGTAATCTGTCATGGGCCCCTGTACCTGTACCGCCTCCTCATGCTGCTGCCAGGTCCAGAGTGTGTCATGGGTCCCTGTACGGCCTCCCATTGCTGCTGTCTCCATCGCCACACTCTGCCATGTGCCACTTTCAGGTCTCCTCACACTACTGGTGGGTTCCATTTTGTCATAGGGTGCTGTATGGCCTCCCATTGCTGCTGCCTCCACCGCCACACTGTGGCTCCACACTCTGGTTTTGGCCCCGTGACTGCCCAAATGAGTGAAGTGTGCGGTGATTCTAAGATCGACGGCACTCATCTGCATGTCATACTGACTGACAGTATTATTTCTCTTCCCCAGCAGACTCCAAGGGCATTTAAATTAAAGGTACAGTGTTCTGCACTAATATAAAGGCTCTCTGAAGCCTAGAAACACCCTTTTTATAAGTTAAATTCGCAGCGAATATATTCGGCTCGAAGCGAATTTATTCCGCGAATTCGGCGAATCAGCCGAACCGAATTTTTGAATAATTCGCTCATCTCTAATGACAATGATCCAAACACACATCTAAGGCCACTGTTGCATTTCTGAAGAAGAACAGGGTGAAAATGATTCAGTGGCCAAGTATGTCTACTGATCTGAACCCAATCAAAAACCTATACAGAATTCTGAAGAGACGAGTTGAGCATCATTCTCCATCCAGCATCCAGGCTGTAAAAGAGGTTGTTCTTGAATAATGGAAAAAGATAAATGTTGCAATATGTTGCCAACTTGTTCATTCCATGCCTAGAAGACTTGGTGCTGTCCTTACAAATCATGGAGGTCATACAAAATATTAGATGTAGTAGTTTTTGTTGTGGGATGTACTCATTTTTGCATCAACTAATTTGAGTAAAACTGAAGATTTTGTAATCTAAGTTATATTATGAACCTTACTTTCATGTAATGAGCTAAACAAATGTTCTATAAAACTCAGTTTTGTCAAAATTTTGGAAATTGTTCTTGTGTTCATTGAGATATTGATTAAAATCTTACTTTTCAAAATGGGTGTATTCATTTATGCTGAGCACTGTATGTCTTTCAACTGTGTATTTAGTTGTTTGCCTATGCTTTTACTTAAACAGATATGTAAAATGTTATATTTATAGCGGAAAAAAATCAAAATATGTTTTACTTAAATACTTCCTTTGCTTATCAGATTTATTATTTATTTATATTACATAATCTGCCATATGTCTATTTTAATATTTTTCTTACCCTAAGATACCAGCTGTTGTTACATTCAGCATATGGATCCAGGCAGTTCTTGCTTATTTGAGAGAGAGTATCTGAGCAGAAGGTAACAGACTAAGGCATCGGGGTTTCACATGGTCTGTTCTGGCACTCAGTTGCAGGGACGCCTGCAGATACAGGAAATATCAATATGATCTACATTGCTTGTTATACAACAAACTAGACATAAGATACTTAGTGTGATTCTTACATTTAACATGTATATCTATTATCTGTGTTATAAACCAGGAACAAAGAGCAAAAATTTTATATATTTCAGCTTACTGGTCCTCAGGCCCCCTGTCATGCATTTGCCAGTCGCTGCCGGCTGGTTATTGTACTAGAGACCAATACATCTTAGGCAGAGCGGGGCAGGTGAGAGATGGCGATGTGTTACCAGTGGCAAGAGATTCTTACACACATATACGGATAAATAAGCGATGTTGCCTGTAGTAATATTGAATATGAGTGAAATCTTTTGGTTATAATAAAATTGAGTGTTTTTGACCGTATATATTGATGTGCAGTTTTATGTGTAACATTGCCTGAGATATGAAGTAATTGGAAGAGCAAGGTCATTTGGTGAGTTTGTCTAAGAACACAGATGTGGGGCAGCATGGATTTGTACATGAAAGTGTTTAAAGACAATTATACACAGAGGAGCTACACATTTACTGGTGGAACAGGTTTCAAGACACATTTGTGAAACTTTTTATTTATATTTAATCTTTGTAACAATTTCAATGACACTGAATAAGTAGGTGCGTTTGAGTTGTTTTATTCTTTTTATTTTACACTTGAAGCTCCAAAACGCTCAGGGAGAAAAAAAAATCTATTATTTTCAATAGATATGGTTTACATCTCTACTTGCCTGAAGCTCAGAAAGGTTTTAGAGCTACCTTTGTAGCTTAATTTGGGCAGATTGGTGCGTTTTTGAAGAATTTTTTTCTCCATAAAAATGCATGGACACATGCGATTTGCGCGTTTGTGAGCAATTTTGCGCGTATTGTCACATGTTTTCGGAGTGTTTGTTGCTGGTTGTTAGGAGCCAGCACTCACTGACATCCTAACAACCAGTGACCTCATCCCTAATGGCACTAGGCAGGAAGGGGTTAACATGTGGGGCGATCAAAGGGTTAACTGTGAGCTGTTTTACTATGTGGGCTGTGTGTGGTTTACACTTTAAAGGAGCTAACAGGAGAGAGATCTGTATTGTTTACACACAGGTCTCTCCAACATCGCTAATACTCAGAGATCGCCGGGTGCCAGCGGGGAATCTCCAGCCGGGTCCTAGTGATTGACAGCCGAGGCTGCAAATGGCAGGCATGACTTCCAGGACTGAGATTGAGCTCTGAAGTCACTTTTGCAGCAGATGTTTTTTGCCCTCTTTGAGACTCACTAAACTCTGACATGACTCTGTATTACTAGCAGCACACGGAATGAATGATGAAAGTGAGGCTTTCCACCTGTTATATAGGTGTCTCATCACACAGCAGAAGCAAAATAATGTTACATCACTTCTGCTTTCAATGTGAAACATGTCGTCACTTTCACACCTGCAAATCATGTAGTGTTTCCATTTTTTTGTCTAACCCCTGTATTTTTACCTTTTTTACACCCTTTGTTGCACTTCTGTTCTGCTGATCATCTGCAGTCACTTGCCATCTACATGCAATTCAGAGAGGCTTCATGAGATTTCTCAAGGATAGTTTTCTGAAGGTGACAACAGTGAACTGTGCCTGTTTGACATGCTGACATGGCCACTTGTAGCCTCCATCAGAAGCCCATGTGAAAAGGTGACAACACAATAAAACAATTGGAGGACAGACATATCCTTGTCACCCTATAACAGAAGTGCATGAACATGGACCTTCATGGCAGGATTACCATATATGTCCCTGATTTTATGAGATGGAGAGAAGGGGCAATGACATCAGGATCTCACCGTGTCCAGGTGTTCTATGATTTTCAGAGATCCTAAGCAAGCAACCTCCTGTGCTCAGTGTGCAGAGGGGAAGCTATTCACACACCACCCAGAACATCACAGTTATCACTATATGTAGTTCGGACTGGTACAGTGATTTACAACATCCCCAACTGCCCTCATATTTAGATATGAGATATGCATATTTACATCAAGCCAAGCTGATCCAACATAAGTATTTAGCAGCATGGTTCCAATGTCCTCTGCATCCTTACCAAGTAAGATCTACTGCCATGTACATTGTACTCAAAAGTTCTCCCATGCCTGTGTGTAACTTCAGACACATTGGTTAAAATTCAAAATATACTGCTTTATTTAAAAAGACCACAAAGTGTTTGGACAAAATATACCAACATCAGAGTTTTCTCTTCAAAAAAGGACTAAAATGTAACCTGTGTAATCCGGCCTTCAGGAAAAAACTTTGAAGATTGTGAAACTTCCTCTTCCGTAATCAAGACTCCATCCAAATGAGTCAGCGACTTTAATCTTCCAATCGCTACCATACGCACTGAAGCTGGCTAGGAAAGAACAGTCATGTCAGCTATTGGGTTCTGTCAATAAGGCATTTTTTTATATTCCTGTATTATGGATGGCCTGGCAGTTCAGTGAGAGTAATGAAAATGTTTATTACACATAAGCACAGGAGTAACGACATGTATTGTACTGGCTCTCAGGGGCGTCAGGAAACTAGGTCATGTATTCAAGATGGCTCATTGAAAACTGCTGAAAGGAAATGCTGCAATTGTTAGCCTCAGCTAAATGATGACATCCTTATTAAAGAAGAAAAAAAAAAAGGCAGAATTTCTTTTTTTTTTTATGTCCAATCTTGGGTTCTGCACAATAAGGATGTTAGAAAAGCATGTAATAAAGACAGTAAAAGGACTGAAAATCTAGTGGTGAGCAAACCATCAGTCTCCAAAATATACTAGATTTCTGTAACTGGTATGGGAAAAGATGAAGGTAAGTAATTGAGGTTTTGTTCAGAGGCTGATAAACTCTGTATTGTGACACAGACTAACAAAGACACACAAACAGCATTGAATATTAGCAAACCCATCAACTGACAGCTTTTCAATCCCGGCTAGGACATAAAATATCGCCAATTATAATCATGTGTGATTTGGTTTTATGGGCTAAAATCATTGCGGCATCTAATGTAATGGAGTATTGTTCAGTTAACATCGTAGGAAGTGTAATCACTGCGATAAGCCATGGGATACATTTTTAATGTTTATGCTGTAAATGGGGTTAACGTGATTTACTGTTCTTCAACCATATCGGTATTATGAAGTGAAGTTTTTGAGCAGTTTTTAAAATATTAACATTTTCTAATAGTTTCTAACATAAAAATAAATTATTTGAAATAATTTTAAAGGTGGTTTCTACTGTGGACAAGAGAAAACTCCTTCTTCTGTTCCCCAGTGAAAACTGATAGGGAGTCCTGTGTACTCAGCTCTTCTCACTCCCGCGCAGAGGCTGCTGCAACAAAGTGTCATGTTGCTGCAGCTCCAGCTAAGAAAAACATTGTGCTAAAAAGTGCAAACAAGTTACTGCACCTTCAGACCTGCTCTGTTAAAGAAAACCTGGCAAGAGACAAAATAAAAGGTTGCACTTGCTGACTACCTTCAAAAAATTCTAGCCACCTGTTTGTCATGCTGATCCCCTATCTTTAAATACATTCTGAGTTGCTGACATAGAACAAATATACAGATTGGATGGATTTGATGGTAAGCTGAGTTTACTGACTCCATCTTTGTTTCAGTTCAAAGATTTAAAGCCAGAGAAATTCAGGAAGCTAGCATTTTTAGAGGGAGATCTGCAACGGTTGCTATATTTGTGGTCACCTTAACTCCTGATTGATTAAAAAACTGATAAAAGCGTTCAATTTGTTAAAGAAAGGGAAGGTGGGTTGGTAATAAAGCAAATGCTGTCCACAGGACAGTTAAAGGCACAATCCCACAGTAGTCAGCTTTCATAAGAGGGCCCCACAGCAGCCCTTACAACATAGCCAACCAGGTCACTGATGTAACTCATTTCAAACAGCAGGATGTTCAAGAAAATTGTATAATGTATGGGCAGCTTTAGAAAAACAAACTGCAGCAGCTGAAGATTTTCTGCTGATCTTCTACTATGCACAGTGCCCCCTAGTGGCCAACCTTACAAGCTGCCACTTGACAGATGCTGCTCACTTCTTGTGTGCAGCCAGTCGAGGAGGCAGCTCCCTCTGTGAGTCCAACTCTCCCTGAAATTTGCCTCGCTGTTCTGATCGCTTCATCACAAATAATTGGTGGTAGTTTGCTGCTATTGTGTGGATTTCTATGCCCCGCCTGTCATTTCCTCTTTTTGCCCACTGATGAGACTTCAGACGCCTGCGGAAGTGACCATGATACTTAGTAACTAGCTAGAAGACAGCTGAGGGAGAAACTTTTTTCCCCATCTGTGCATTGTAGTGTGCTGCAACACAGGTGCATTGGGGTGCAATAAACCACATTATTAATTGTTCACAATACAGATCTGTAAAGCTGGCCTAAACTATTTTCTGTATTAGGGCTTTTTCAGACTAGTGAGTTGAGTAACATGCATTAAAATGTGCGATTTGCCGTGCATTTTCTGTAACACACAGTACTAGTGATATTCATTTTGAATGGCACCACAACGTGCAAACACAATGCTCTACAACACATGTCTTTGTCTATGTCTTTTTATGCACCACATCACACAGGTGTAAACCATCTGGGCATTACGATTTGCAAAAATGTACAGATCTAATTTTTTCATGCAGTAAAGTACTATCTATGCTTAAGTAAGAATGTACTTGTGCAGCTCTTTGGACATGTTGGGGGGCAAACTTGAGGCCCCCTGCATTTACTTCACCACCACTGCTTTAGATAGTGTTTGTAATATTCAGGGGTGTATTTCATGTGCAAAGCCATTTGTCTTAAACATAAAGGTGCTTATTTTTCTTTAAATTCAAACAAAGCAGTACCTTCAGCAGCAACACGGAATTCACTTAACTCCAGAAAACACAAAAGAAAAGTCCACTTATCTTCAGCACAAACATGAAGAAAGAAACAAAGACACAAAGTTCACAGATGGGATTTACCCCAAGGTTAGCACAGTCCAACACTGGTAATTTGGCAGCTTCCACCACATGTGCAGCACTGCAACAGGTCTCTCTCAAAACGCCTACTTCCCACATCTTAGCACTGGGAACTTCCTGCCTTGTGTGCTGCTTCCTGGAGGCTGCTTAACCAAGTAGGGCCCGGAGTCCACATAGTCAGGAGTGAAGGTTCTTTTCCCACCCGTGTATCACTCTGAACCTCCAAAATTCCAGGTCCCAAATACACCTCTACTAACAACGAGAGGACTGCGAGTCAGTCCTCTTTACATGACTACCCCGGAATACCTCACCCATCACAGGTGAGAACCCTAAATACACACACATTTTCCTTAAAGGGACCATAACCCAGATATTGGTTCCAGATAGCACCTGTCCTGGACCCAACCTTGGCATCCTGTACATGTTATATTGTATATATTATATATATGATTAACATTATACAAATGTAGCCAGGCTCCGGATACTGCAAGCTGAATCTGGAGGACATAACCCAACAGGACCACAGACTAACTAGTTCTCCTCTAGTGCCTGCACTCAGACTGCTGCATCACTTCCTGACTATAGAGCAGAGGGGTTCCTCTTCCTGGACCAGACCGGAAGATCTTGGGACACACCCCAGAAAGCTGCCCAGTGAAAAGGACTGTGGGAGAACCTATATATTAAAATTCTACTGGCGGGCTCTCTCCCTCCGCATGGGACTCTCTACAGAATGGTTGGACCACTGTCCTGCACACAGTGACAGTGCACTCCCGCAGCCTTGCCAGCTACGGCCACGCTTCTGGCGGTGGATCTGCATCACAGGGCACCATTGGTGAGGCTAAGCTCCTGTTCTGCCACCTGAGATCAGCCCTGCAGGCCCTGACACTGACTTCTCACTTCACTACCAGGCCGGTCAGCTAAGCATCCATTCTTCCACTCAGCTAAATCTTGGGGCCTGTACCACCTATCCTGTTCCTGCGAAGGTTGTCTTCAAACCAGATTGGTGAGCGGGCAGATGTTCAAAACTCTTCATCCTGTCACATTTTCCTGTTTAGAAACACTGAAAGCAGACAACATAATCAGGAAGATTTAAAGGAATCGCTACCCCTATTACTCCAGTCACACACTTTTCTGGCACTATGGATCCCTAAAGATTTACATCTTATTCACAGGCCCCTATGTGCTAGCGAAGACACAACCTTGCACCTAAATCTGAACTGTCCTTATATTATTGTCGGCTTGTGAATTTGCCTAAAGGGGAACTCCTTCCTTGCACTGGTACAATAGTAGGGGACTTGCTCAGTGTTTTAGTGGTCCAAAGGAAACTGAGTTTCAGACTCTCTCCCCCTAAAACCAGTGTTGTACTTGACCATACTCTTCAAGTGTATTATGTTAATTTACACTGTCATTGTTTTGCATATCAATAGCTTGCTATACATTCAGATTCGTATTCTTATAATTGCATTTCTAGTATTAATTGAGTGCTACTTAATTGTTTGGTGTCCTTAGTATCCTTAGAGGTTGATTTGTTTCACTGCTATCGTAAAACCAGTTATTCAACTTCTTTCATTACAGTATTTTCTGTGTTAAATCTGAGTTGTACTCTTCCACTTACAGTGGATATAAAAGTCTCCACACCCCTGTTAAAATGTCAGGTTTCTGTGATGTAAGAAAATGAGACAAAGATAAATCATTTCAGAACATTTTCCACTTTTAACCACCTCCTGTCCGGCCGTTGTATATAAACGGCTGGACGTGGCAGTGCAGGGTCGGGTGGCCATTTATAAATGGCCTCCCTGCCCCATGCTCCCTGGGAGCGTGCAGCACCGCGATCCAGTGCCCACTGTGTCCTAAGTGGAACACCGATCGTGATCACATGCAGAGTAGTAAGCAAGATGTCACTTCTGACATCATTGCTTACTACGTGTGAAAACTGTGAATGATCACAGAGGTCACATGGTACAAGGCTATTCACAACAGCCTTGTACCACGTGACAAGCTGTGACCACCAACCAAAGCTCACACAGTAGTTCTCAATGGCTGCAAGAATGCAGCCAGAGAAAAGGAGAAATTATTGCTTTAGAGCCTTTATGGATGTAAAAGCAATCAGTGTAAAAAAAAAAAAAAGATCTTCATCACCCCCCACAAGTAGTAGTGTCACCATGGTGATAGTATGTAAAAAAATAAATAAATAATATAAAAAAAATAAAAAAAAGTTTAAAAATTATAACTTTTGACTATAAACTAATTTGGGTTACTTTTTTTTTTTTTTTTTACTAAAAAGATAACGGAATACATTTTGGCCAAGATTTATGTTGAAATATTTATTTGCTAAATTTTATAAGAAAAACACTTTTTTTCAAAATGTGTGGACATTTTCATTTACATAGCAAAAAAACTAAAAATCCCAGTGGTGAATAAATGTCACCAAAAAAAAGCTTTATCTGTCTCAAAAAAATGCATATGGGTACACTGCTGCATGACCGTGCAATTGTCATTCAAAGTGTGATAGCACTAAAAGATGAAAATTGGCCTGGACAGGAAGGGGGTAAAAGTGTCCGGACTTAAAGTGGTTAATGTAACCTATAAACTGTACAACTCAGTTGAACAACTAACTGAAATCTTTTAGGTGGAGGGAAGTAAAAATTTAAATTTCAAATAACATGGTTGCATAAGTGTGCACACCCTTAAACTAACACTTTGTTGAAGCACCTTTTGATTTTATTACAGTACTCAGTCTTTTTGGGTATGAGTCTATCAGCATGGCACATCTTGACTTGGCAATATTTGCCCACTCTTCCTTGCAAAAACACCCCAAATCTATCAGATTGCGAGGGCATCTCCTGTGCACAGCCCTCTTAAGATCATCCCATAGATTTTTAATCGAATTCAGGTCTGGGCTCTGGCTGGGCCATTCCCAAACGTTATTCTTCTTCTGGTGAAGCCATTCCTTTGTTGATTTGGATGTATGCTTTGGGTCGTTGTCATGCTGAAAGATAAAGTTCCTCTTCATGTTTAGCTTTCTATCAGAAGCCTTAAGGTTTTGTGCCAATATTGACTGGTATTTGGAAGTGTTCATAATTCCCTCTACCTTGAATAAAGCCCCAGTTCCAGCTGAAGAAAAACAGCCCCAAAGCATGATGCTGCCACCACCATGCGTCACTGTGGGTATGGTGTTCTTTTGGTGATGTGAAGTGTTGTTTTTGCGCCAAACATATCTTTTGAAATTATGGCCAAAAAGTTCAACCTTGGTTTCATCAGACCATAACACATTTTCCCACATGCTTTTGGGAGACTTCAGATGTGTGTTTGAAAAATTTAGCCGGGCTTGGATGTTTTCTTTTGTAAGAAAAGGCTTCCATCTTGCCAATCTACCCATAGTCCAGACATATGAAGAATATAGGAGATTGTTGTCACATGTACCACACAGCCAGTACTTGCCAGATATTCCTGCAGCTCCTTTAATGTTGCTGTAGGCCTTTTGGCAGCCTCCCAGGTCAGTTTTCTACTCATCTTTTCATCCATTTTGGAGGGATGTTCAGTTCTTGGTAATGTCACTGTTACGCCATATTTTCTTCACTTGATGATGATTGTCTTCACTGTGTTCCATGTATATCTAATGCCTTGGAAATTCTTTTGTACCCTTCTCAAGACTGATACCTTTTAACAATGAGATCCCTCTGATGCTTTGGAAGCTCTCTGCGGACCATGGCTTTTGCTGTAGAAAGCGACTAAGAAAATGTCAGGAAGGTCTACTAGAACAGCTGAATTTTATTTGGGGTTAATCAGAGGCACTTTAAATGATGGCAGGTGTGTACTGACTCCTATTTAATAGGATTTTGAATGTGATTGCTTAATTCTGAACACAGCTACACCCCCAGTTATAGGAGGGTGTGCACACTTATGCAACCGCATTATTTTCGTTTTTTATGTTTACTTTCCCCCTTAAAAGATTTAACTTTGTTTTTCAATTGATGTTTACAGTTTATAGGTCACATTAAAGGTTTTATCTTTGTCTCATTTGTTTACATCACAGAAACCTAACATTTTAACAGGGGAGTGTAGACTTTTTATATCCACTGTAGCTATACGAGTGCTGTTGTCTGTGCAGAATATGTCTGAACCTAGTGTGTCATAAGGGTTGAGGGGTTTACAGGGTCAAGGCAGCACCAAAGGACAAGCATCATCCAGTGGCTCCTACAGAGGTAGCGCTACACAATACATTCAGGTATTAATTTATTGTACTTTAGCCAGTAGCTGTGGTATATTTTATTTCAGGGAGGTTACAAGCATACTGTTCCCCTTTTATTTCTTGGGAATTGAGAGGTACCAGCAAGTATATGCTTGTTGAGCACATGGCGTGGAATTACCATGGGGTGGGGAAAAACTAAATGGGATTCATTGGGAGTTCTTTCATTGGGATAAAGTTGAGAGAACTGACTGGTGCTTTGAGATGGTTGGGAACAGGAAAAAGGTTTAGAACAATTTCTTTAGTCAGACTAACCTTTTGCCAGGGATTGTAGGATATATTCAGTGACAGAAGATGTGGAGTTTGCGTTCGTAAAATGTTCATATCTTCCCTGATTCTTGTTAAATGGTTCCAGCTCACATCTAAATGCTTCAGTTTTGCCAATCCTTTAACACCTTCCAGAGCTTTCACATTGTTATGGCTGGCATCAAGGTATTCGAGATTTGGCTGCAGTGAAATTGGAGATTAATTCATTATTTTCACATATACATAAACATTACCATAAAAGTATAGTGGCAATTATTGCCCTTATTTAAGGAAGGAAGGCAGCAAATGTTGTACATGCTGGTTACAGTGCATTTCTCTCTGAAATTCTGAGGAAAATGGGTCGTTCCAGACATTGTTCAGAAGAACAGCGTACCTTGATTAAAAAGTTGATTGGAGAGGGGAAAACATATAAAGAAGTGCAGAAAATGATAGGCTGCTCAGCTAAAATTATCGCAAATGCTTTAAAATGGCAACCAAAACCTGAAAGACGTGGAAGAAAGCGAAAAACCACCATTCGAATGGATAGAAGAATAGCCAAAATGGCAAGGACTCAGCCAACAATCAGCTCCAGGAAGATCAAAGAAGGTCTAAAGTTACCTGTGAGTACTGTTACAATTAGAAGACGCCTATGTGAAGCCAAGCTATCTGCAAGAAGCCCCCGCAAAGTCCCACTGTTGAAAAAAAGACATCTGCTGAAGAGGTTACAATTTGCCAAAGAGCACATTGACTGGCCTAAAGAGAAATGGCGCAACATTTTGTGGACTGATGAAAGTAAGATTGTTCTTTTTGGGTCTAGTGGCTGGAGACAGTTTGTCAGACGACCCCCAAACACTGAATTCAAGCCACAGTACACTGCGAAGACAGTGAAGCATGATTGCACAAGCAACTAGCCCATAGAATTGGTCCCAACATCCAAGACTGCAAAAATCCTCGCCCAGTTATAGTACGTTACCTGGATTGTACAGATCGTAAAGAGGTTTTACAGGCATATAGAATAGGAAAACCAGGTAAAGATTTAATATTGGACAGACACAAATTATTGAAGTTTGCGAACTGCTCGGTGAAGTACCGAGAAAAAGAAAAGCCTTTCAACAGTTTTGTGCAATTCTCTTCGAGATTCGTTTTACATTGGCGTATCCAGCTATATTTCGATTACAGACAGCTGATGGCAAGCAACAGGAGTTCATTAACCCAGAGGAAGCGTGTCAATTATTGGATCATAACCAGTCAGAAGCCTTTGGCATCAAGAACTGTGGCATCAATAAATGCAAAGTAGCTAAAGTCTAAGAAACTCCATTTTCTAAGAAGATAAGGACAAACATTTAACAAGAACAATTGCCTGGGTTGAAGCCTAACTCCACTTAAGGCTAGGTTCACACCTATGCAAGTTGCATTTGAGCCGTTCCTGCATTGCGTTTTGTGTTGCGTTTTTTTTTTTTTTTTTTTTCTTGTTGCTAGGCAGATTTAAAATGCAAAACACACGTAAAAAAACACAGCAAAAATGCAGCAAAACACAATACACGCTTTTCTGCAGCATTTCCATTGAAGTCTATAAATCCAAAAATGCAACTTTTTGCATTCAAAATAGTCCCTAACCCTTTCCAAAAAACGCACCGGCTGAAAACGCGGAGATGTGAACATGTCCCATAGGAAATCATGCAAAATGCAAAACGCTGCAGAATACACTTAAGTGTGATCCTAGGGTAAGTAGTTAGGAAACATTTAATATGATCAGTAATTTATTTATCTCATTTGAGAACTGCCGAAGGATGCTGTTTAGTGTCCTATTTCATTTTGCTAAGCTATGTGGGAAACTAGATATAGCAAAATACAATATATTGATAAGCATACCCTGTATGAAAAAATAAGAAAAGAAACTGTAAATTAATTTTGTTTTCTTTAAATTTTTTTCAAGGCCCCTAAGCGGTTTTGGAACAATTGATAAAATTTGTGGCTCGCAACACAGCAAAAAAGGAAGTTAGTAAGAAAGGATTTTTTTTGTGTGTTTTCTGCATTGTGTTTAATGTTGGTGGTAATGTATAATTTCATGGCATATATGCTATATAACTCTTTCAAATTTTGGGCTGAATTGCCAGTTATTCTGATCTACTTTTATATAGTAAAAGATTTTAGTTCTCCATTCTTAGTACATAGGAACCTATATTTTACTAATCTCCACAATATTGGATCAATGCATACATGAAGGTGATTTCATGGAATGTAAATGGTTTGTGGTCCCCCTCAAAATGCAATATGGTGCTGCCACATTTGAAATGATTAACCACTTCCCATGTATATAAACGACTGGACGAGAGCAGTGGAGGAGCGGGTGGCCAATCAGTGATCACATGAATAGTAGTAAGCAAGATGTCACTTCTGACATCATTGCTTACTACATGTGAAATCTGTGAATAATCACAGAGGTCACATGGTACAAGGCTATTCACAACAGCTTTGTACCATTTAACAAGCTGTGACCAATCACAGCTCACACAGTATTTCTCAATGGCTGCAAGATTGCAGCCAGAGAGAAAGAGAAATTATTGCTTTTACAGCCTTTATGAATGTAAAAGCAATCAGTGTAAAAAAAAAAAAAAAAAAATCATCACCCCCCCAGAAGTAGTACAGTGTCACTATGGTGACACTGTACTGCTAGGGTGACAGTATGTTAAAAAACAAAAACATGAATAATATAAAAAAAATAAAATAAAAATGTAACTAAAAAAATGTTGGTTATAAACTAATCTGGGTTATTATTTTTTTTTACTAAAAAGATAACTGAATAAAATTTTGGCAAAGATTTATGAAGAAAGATTATTTATTTGCAAAAATTTTTTTCAAAATGTTTGGACTTTATATAGCAAAAAAATTAAAATCCCAGTGGTGAATAAATACCACCAAAATAAAGTTTTATCTGTCTCAGAAAACTGCTAAAAAATTCATATGGGTATAGTGTTGCATGACCACGCAATTGTCATTCAACGTGTGACAGTGCTGAAAGCTGAAAATTGGCCTGGACAGGAAGGGGGTAAAAGTGTCCAGACATGAAGTGGTTAATTTGCGTATTTTTTTTCTCAACACGTTTCTTGTGATCCTGTTGACTATTTGCAACAAAACGTTTGATGGTTCTGTGATCACGCCCCAATATCTTAGCAATTTCAGACATTTTACAATTTTTTACTTTTCAGAGTCAGTTAAATCTCTTTTTTGGCCCATTTTGCCTGAGGAAAAGAAGCTGCCTAATAATTATGCACACCTTGATATAAGGTGTTTATTTCCTTAGGCCAAAACCTCCCTCATTACACAAACACATATCACCGGATGTGCTTAAATCCAATAGGCATTCAAGTTTATACAGCTTGGAGTTGGACAATATGCATAAAAATTATGATTAGATCAAAATACTCACTATCTTAATAATTGTGCACACAGTGTATATTCATAAATCTCCATATTGCACAAAATACCTCTACTAGAAGTAATCCAGCATTTCCTGCAGGGGAACAACATAAAGCTTTTGGGCAAATCAGGTTTTTTTTTATTTACATCAATTGTTTGATATGGATACAGGGAATCGATTTATGCACTTTTCAGGCTTTATAGGATAAGTTCATCTAGTAACAAAAAAACAATAAATGCACATTTTTTTGCAGGTAAAAAAATGTGCATTTATTATTTTTTGTTTTTGGAGTCCATAAAGCATTGCACCAGTGATCAGCAGAATGCTGGTGCTGTGCAGATCTCCTGCAGACTTGTCAGTTGATCTGTGTGCCCGTACGAGGTATACGGGCAAGCAGATACTTACTGACAGGAAGAGTTAATGAACTACCACGGGGCTCCACAGCGCCGTGGTAGTTCATTGAGAACTACAAGCTGACAGCCACAAAGGCTGTCTGAACTCGTAGTGTTTGCATTCACAGAATACCGTGAATGAGTAACATGGCCAGGTGGGCAGAGCCCCACACGTCCACGTTTCTCTTTTTTGGTGACAGCTAGTGGGAGGGAAAAGCTGGGGTGCAGAGGCTGGTTTATTCATAACATGAATATGGGTGTAACATGTAACATGCTAAGAAAGGTGAACTTATCCTTTAAGCCAGAGATTTGATATTCCCATTGTATCCTGTACGGGGCATGTCTACCTCCTGTTTGGACACTCTAGTAGAAACAGATTTGTCTATATTTGTCATTTATCCATACGCGACTAGTCTTAGAGCCTTTGATCTAGGTAGACCTAATATCCGAAAATGGTCTCAGGATTTTCATGTGGACAACATAATTTAAAATACTCCAGGGATACTGAAGGGTTTGTAAAATCATAATAAATGAAGTACTGTATGTACTTGCAGAGGCATAGCTTTAAGCTTAGTCTGGAAGTGAGTGTGCTGACTCTTCAAATCATAGAATGCTTAAATATCAAAAATACCTTAATAAAATAAAAAAATATATGATCAATTCATCAAACAGGTGCAACTTCCAAGCTGACAAAGTCCTAAGTGCAAACAGTGTACTGTCTCTTTAAATGCAAAAAAGCATACAATATTTGCCTAATTCATCACTACAATTCATATACATAGGTCTGCTTAATGTGCTCATATAATGCAATAAATAATCATGCAAGATAATGCTTAAAGTGCAATGTGCAAATCCTACATGAACAAATAAAAAATAGGATTAAAAAAAAAAAATTAAAAATAAAAAGTCCAAAGTTCATCAACTTGTTTAACAAATTCTGTGTTGATAAATTCCACCAAGAAAATCCTGTGAAGTGTCCAACCAACTTTAGAAGCATTTCTTACCACAATGATCAGACCTCTAAGTTACAGTAGGTCGATCTAGAATGAAGAGATCCAAAAGGCAAAAAGCAACAACCTGGGGGCTATCTCACATCAAGGATCCACCTCTAGTAGCACAACATCACCAACACTGTAATTTTCTGTAAAATTCAATGCAATATGGCAACCTGGAGGTGTTCCTATTGTCATAGAAGGTTGAGGAGTGATAATTATTGTTATAATTATAGTTGTTGAGGCAAGAGTTTGCTTGCCGATATGAAATGTAAAACTCCTCTATCCAAGAAATTAATTTTTCCACAGCAACAAGCTCAACCATTCTTTTCCAGAAAGATGCATTTATTAGGTTCCAGCACAGCACACAAGATACTTGCAACAGATGACAAAATA